TATGCACTCCGAATGTCTACCAAGTGGTCATCTACTTTGATAACCTAAATCGTTTCTTCAAGCTGGGGTTGACCTTTCGAGAGTTTTTCTACTTCTTGAGGTGAGACCAAGATGGCGGCCACAAGGGTTGTAAGATCCCACATCGACCAACGGAGATGGGGTGATGTGTCTTATATGTACATGCTCGCCTCCATCTAGCACGAGGCCTTTTGGGAGCTCACTGGCTTCAGAGTCATGGGAATTTTGAAGTTAAGCGAGTTGGGGCTAGAGCAATCCTAGGATGGGTGACCCACTAGGAAGTTGCTCCTGAGTTCCCATAAACAAAACCGTAAGGGCAAGGGGCCCAAAGCGGACAATATCGTGCTACGACGAAGCGATCCCGGGATTTGACAATTTGGTATCAGAGCCACTTTGCCGTGTGATGCGATTGTGCCGATGAGGACGTCGGGCCCCTAAGGGGGGTGGATTGTAAGATCCCACATCGACCAACGAAGATGGGGTGATGTGTCTTATATGTACATGCCCGCCTCCATCTAGCACGAGACCTTTTGGGAGCTCACTGGCTTCGGAGTAATGGGAACTCCGAAGTTAAGCGAGTTGGGGCTAGAGCAATCCCAGGATGGGTGACCCACTAGGAAGTTGCTCGTGAGTTCCCATAAACAAAACCGTAAGGGCAGGGGGGCCAAAGCGGACAATATCGTGCTACGACGGAGCGATCCAGGGATTTGACAATTTGGTATCAGAGCCACTCTGTTGTGTGGTGCGATTATGCCGATGAGGACGTCGGGCCCCTAAGGAGGGTGGATTGTAAGATCCCACATCGACCAACGGAGATGTGGTGATGTGTCTTATATGTACATACCCGCCTCCATCTAGCACAAGGCCTTTTGGGAGCTCACTGGCTTCGGAGTCATGGGAACTCCGAAGTTAAGCGAGTTGGGGCTAGAGCAATCCCAGGATGGATGACCCACTGGGAAGTTGCTCGTGAGTTCCCATAAACAAAACTGTGAGGGTAGGGGGCCCAAAGCGGATAATATCGTGCTACGACGGAGCGATCCCGGAATTTGACAATTTGGTATCAGAGCCACTCTGTCGTGTGCTGCGATTGTGCCGATGAGGACGTCGGGCCCCTAAGGGGGGTGGATTGTAAGATCCCACATCGACCAACGGAGATGGGGTGATGTGTCTTATATGTACATACCCGCTTCCATCTAGCACAAGGCCTTTTGGGAGCTCACTAGCTTTGGAGTCATGGGAACTCCGAAGTTAAGCGAGTTGGGGCTAGAGCAATCCCAAGATGGGTGACCCACTGGGAAGTTACTTGTGAGTTCCCATAAACAAAACCGTGAGGGTAGGGGGCCCAAAGCGGACAATATCGTGCTACGGCGGAGTGATCTTAGGATGTGACAGCCGTGATGTGGAGTCGTGGTCTCGGCAGTGGAGTGCAGCGGCTACTACGACGCCGCGCCTTCGTGTTGGATCGGACCCGTTACAGATTGAGTCGTCTCGGCGTTCTTACTTCTTCAAACCATGGTTGTTTGGAAGGTTTTGAGTGATGAATGAAAGGAAATAGATTCCTTAGATTTGAGAGCAACTCTTTGAGTACATTTCAAAGCTCTGAATGAAGCACCAATTTGTTTATGCAAATATTCATACGGGAGAATATTCGCGGATTAATTCCTTCGCCCTTCAAACTTTCTTATTCTTGTTCTTCTTCCTCGCTCCGTGTAAAATAGATTGGAGTCAACAGACCACACCCGAGGTGTGTTGGCCAAAGGCCCTCCGATGCCTAAGTCAAGTTAATTGGATCTTAGGAAGATACGACAAACAATGGAAAGGATGAAGGTCTTCTCTCACGGGGAGCGCCAGGTGGCATGGAGCCGTGAGAGAGAGAGAGAGAGAGAGAGAGAGAGAGAGAGAGAGAGAGAGGAAATTTGCTAGGGTTTTTAGAATTACGTCAAATGTGGTGTGATGTCATTTATTATAGCCTCCTTGCTTGACTAGGGTTTGAAGAATAATCCATATTTAATTAGGATTATTCTTTCCCAAAAATAGGTGATAGGATAAATCAAAGAGATTTGCTGGAAATCGGATTCTTGATTTTGGGAGATATTCTTATTTTAAATCAAAAATAATTATCTAATTAAATAGGATTTAATCAGGGTAATTAATTTACCTAAAGAATATTCATTTTTCCATGTGTCCCCTTCTTATTGGTTGCCGAAAATATGTGTTCTCATACATACCATCAGCCAACGGGATCTAGCCTAGCAAAAAAAAACATTGACTTGCAGATCGATAGTTTCATGTTCGAATTCCCGTAATACTTTTCACAGCGTGTGAGAAAACCCCACCCCCCTTCCTAACTTTAGGACAAGAAAAAAAATCAAAATCAAAATCTAACTTTAGGAAAAGAAAAAAAATCAAAATCAAAATCAATCATACCATCAATCAACACCATGCAAGTTTCGTAAGGCATTGGTATATCTAAATCTTTAATGCTACCATGTGAAGTTATATTCACTGGAACTCAATTATGAGATAATTATTGCAGTCATCTCCTTGTCCAAAATATTCCAAATTTATAGCTATACCATATGCCATAAAGTTATAAACCCTAAACCCTAAACCTCATCTTTTCGGAGTAAGAAAATTGAAAACGTTGGTTGGCCGTGGCTGTTGGGTCACCCAAAAGAAGAGGGCACATCACAGATTCGAGAGGCATGGCTTAAAGACTTCCGCCTAACTGACTGCTTGGCAAAATTATGGACATGGTTCAATGGCTCTACTTTGTATATCAGAATTCAACAAAGGCTCTGCTTTGCATATTCTGAAGCTTTTTATAAAGAATTTGAAAGTTAAGTGACAAAGGTATCTGTGGTACTGTGTTGATGTAGCAGCTAAAGATACTCTTATCAACAAAAAAGTACAAAAAAGAAGAAAAATAAAGCTCAAGATACTTGTCGATCGGTCAATGTCATGTTATCACAAGCAGTCCAGCTTGCCAACCATGGTACGCTTCTGTGTATTTAGTCATGTGTTGCATAAACATCTAGAATTACTGTAATCACGGTGGTATCTTTCTATTAGGTTATGGTATATATCAAAAACAATGTTGAGTCAAACTTGCCAAAATAAAGTATCGAAAACATTATTATATCATATAAAAATAAATTATCAAAAGTATTTATAAGATACTACCGATAAATTTATACCATAACTTAATTCAATCACGCACTGAAATGTGAAATAGTTAAAATATGTAACAACGCCTAATTAACTTGAAATACAATACAGTGACATTCCTAATAAATCTCTCTTTAACACATTAACATTAAGGCGAGTCAATGTCTCCGATGTACAATGTGTACTTTTTATTATTATAAAGGAAGAGTGCTGCTATTTCCACCCGCCTGTCCTATTTCCCCACCTACCTTATTGGTTGCCGAAAGGAAATGTAGAATGAGTACTGGAGGGTAGAGAGCAGTGGAGTCGAGCAAGGTCGGGTTTTGGGTTCGGTTGTGATTGAGCCCGATTATGGGAATGCTTGTTGTTGATTTGTTTGGCCCAATATGGGCGATTGGCTAACCAATGGGCTTGGCTCGTTTAGCCTGTTCTGAAAATTCGTGGACCAACTTGGCTCACAAGTAACTATCCTCAAAACCCTTTTTTTTTTCTTTCCTACTTGTCAATTATATTATCTTATTATCTCAATTCGTATCGATTTTTAATATAGCTACTTGTTATTTTAATGAAATAAATCAAGTTGAATGATTGGACCAATTTGGAAAAATAAATAAATAAAACACTTAGTGCCCGTTTGGCATTGTTTATTTTGGGTGATAAGTGATTTTAAAAAAAAATTGGGAAGCTCAGCCCGTTTGGTAAACTATGAGAAAATCACTTATTATTAAAAATTGTTGTGAGAGAAAGCTATAAGGGAAAGCAGCTAATGAGGTACTTTCATTTTCTGATTATGCAGGAATCAGTTTCGAAGAGGCGTTATGTTTAATGATTATGCGAGAATCATTTTCTGATTACGCGGGAATTAGTACCAACAACACTCTTAACAAAAAGTTTACCAAACGCCAAACTGCTTTCTCTCACAGCTGATTTCTCTCACAACAAATCTGACAGCGATTATTTTTACAGCATAGCAATGCCAAACTGGCCCTTAGACCGGAAAAACAATGAATAATAATATGATTATGTATATAAAAATTCAAATTTAAATCGCTAATGATGGGTTACAAAGCCCATGGTTTTATTTACTAATATCCAAGATCCATATCCAGTCTGTTGTGCACTTAAAGTCCACCAAACAACAAACTGGACCCATGTTCGTTTTAATTGAATATATCAAGTCCAGTCTAGCCCATCAAACATTGCCTAAATTTTTTGGACAATGCTTGGCTACTGATATATCAGGAGTCATTCCTCCTCAACCATGACGTGGGCTTCTTAAAAAACAAACACGTGTGTTTTTTTTTTCTTTTTTTTTCCTCTTTACTCTTCCCCTAATTTTTGGTTGGTTTTAACTGTAGCCTCCCCAAAGCCACCGCCACCCCTGTTCCGAATCCACCCTCATCACCAACCTCGCCATGTAAATCTCCCATCTAAACCTCCGGCCAATTTCGGAGCCCAAGACCCTGGATTGAAATCATTATGTGCTTTCAATTTTTGGTTTTTGAATTTGCAGCCAGAGCAGGAGTGATGGAGAAATGAGAGAGAGATAGAGAGAGAAGAAAAAAGAAAGTTGGTGGGCTACCTTATCGGTTCAATGGCGAGGTTGGTGATGAGGGTGGATTCAGAACAGGGGTGGCAGTGGCTTTGGAGAGGCTGCAGTTAAAATCAGCCAAAACGTTGGGGGAAGAGAAAATAGGAAAAAAAAAACACAAAAAGAACAAACAAATAAAACACACGTGTTGGTTTTTTAAGGTGCCCACGTCATGGTTGAGGAGGAATGGCTCCTGATTGTCCAAATTCTTTGATTTTTATTTTATTTTATTTTTTTAAAGAAAAGGGTTAAGAAAACGGTCCAAACCGGGAAACCGTAAGCGTCGACGAGAAGTACAACTGGACAACTGAACCGAACCGGGAATGGTCGGGGAGCTTACGAGTAGAGGAAGCCATAAGCGTTGGGAGGACGCAACGACGTAAAAGTTAAAAAGGTCGTTCGTTTCTCAGACCAACAACATCCAGAGACCAGAGACCAGAGACACAGAGAGAGGGCGAGAGTTTGATCGTTGCCCTCTCCGTCTCCGATCCAAATCTCATTTTCTTTTCTTCTTCACATTTTTTGCATTTGCAATTTTACATTTCCATAAATAAAAAACCCTAACAAACGACGACATTGTTATAATCAATTATCTGCAAAATTCATATGATTCGATTTCTCTTCTCGCGGCACCCATTTTTTCATGCGACGGTTGAATACCCGTAAAGGGGTCAATTCGAAGCCGACCGACGACTACGACAGCAACAATATGGACCCAGTTAAGCTCCAAGTCCGACCCAGCACCCGATCCAATCTCTTCTCTCGCAATCCCAAGCACAACACCAGATCAAGCTTCTTAATTATCGCTTCACTGACGATCGCACTAGCTTTCACACTCTGTTATCTTCTCGTTTCCGCGAGAAATTCAAGGAGTTCTGGGAATAAACGGTACGGGATTGTGATCGACGGGGGGAGTACGGGTACCCGAATCCACGTGTTCAGGTACGGAGTCGACGGCGGCAACACTGCCGTCTTCGATTTCGGCACGGACGGGTTGTCGTCGATGCGGGTTAACCCGGGGCTCTCGGCGTATGCGGAGGATCCGGAATCGGCGGACGGGTCGTTGCGGGAGCTTGTGGAGTTTGGGAAGGGTAGGGTTCCCAAGGAGCAGTGGGAGAACACGGAGATAAGGCTTATGGCCACGGCGGGGCTCCGACTGCTCGATTTGGATGTCCAGAATCGGATTCTGGACTCTTGTAGAAAGGTGCTTCGGAGTTCTGGGTTTAAGTTTCAGAACGAGTGGGCTACGGTGATTACAGGTACTGTTGTTTGTGAATTGTGTTGTGGTTTTTGCATCTATTGCGACTTGCGAATTGCAATACGATTGAAGTTATGTGAATGAATTTTTTTGACCTAATTTTAGTGGCATTGTATGAAAAGAGCCAATTTCGAATGCTAGAAAAGATTATTAACAATAATGTGCATAGTTGATATCAGCCAACCCACACATTTTTTTGTATTTGATTGTTTGTTAACTTCAAATGTGGCGTTCATGTTTTATGAGCAACTCTCTGAAATTATGGTTGATAGGCTCTGATGAAGGACTATATGCTTGGGTTGTTGCAAACCATGCCCTTGGCACTCTTGGTGGCAATCCTTTGCAGACAACTGGGATTATTGAACTTGGTGGCGCTTCTGCTCAGGTGTGATTGCATTAATACTTTCCTGTGGTATTCGTTTGAAATTTTGGATTTCTGACCCCAAAATTATGGTCTGAGCCAATACATAGGTTCATCACAACATAATTGCAAGTCACAAAAAATATCATGCCTCGCGAATGTGCTTTTTATTGGGAAATATGATTATCTATTTGTCCGCCAACAAGTACCTAAAACATATCGGAGAAAAGAGTTGGAACAGTTGGAACAGTTGGGGATATGATAACTTTTGGTCCAATTTTATTTCAGGTGACATTTGTTTCAAGTGAGCCAGTGCCTCATGAGTTCTCACGTGTTGTTAAATATGGAAATGTCACTTACAATCTCTACAGTCACAGCCTTCTTCATTACGGCCAGGTTTGTTCGGCTTTGTTAATGCTGTTCATTTGCAGATATCAACTTGTCCAAGTTTTCCAGACAAATGGAAGCTTGGAAGTTTAATTTTCATTAAGGTGCTACTTTATGGTTTGAAGTTCAGAAGTAATTTGATAATGCAGAATGTTGCATATGATTCGTTGAAAGAAGCAATTGTTTCAGGAGACTTCAACTTAGGTAAAAATTTAAGCTTTGCTTTCTGCTCTGATTTTTCGTATGCCTTGAACCTAAAGTTGTTTGACTGTGTCATGCTGAATTCCAATTTTTGCTTGTGAGTCTGGCATCCATGAACTTCATATCCCTTTAGAAGCATAAGTTATAATGTGGTTGTCTGTCTGATGATGTTATTAGCAATATGGCTTGGTTGGACTGATCACCAGGATGTAGCATATTTTTGTGGTTCTTACTCCCCTTTCACACAGTTATATTGAAACAATTTTGGTGGCCAACGGAAGAGTTTGTTGGAATTGATTGTTGCAATCTGATTTGGTTGTTCTTGACCCAAAAAAAAAAAATTCTGATTTGGTTGTTGATTCCTTGATCAAATGCATATTGTCAATAGTTCTGAAAGCCTCACAGTTAGAACATGATATTTGACTGGATTTCTACCATATTTTAACGTTAATGCAGATGCTGAATCACTTCAGAAAAGAATGTCAATAGATCCTTGCACTCCTAAAGGATATTCATATAAGATGCAGTCTTCAAAGCTTTCTCCAAGTTCTTCAGTTGAGAAGAATAGACATCTATCTACTCTTCAATCAAGGGGTAACTTCTCTGAGTGCCGATCCGCTGCAATAATGATGCTGCAAAAAGGAAAAGGTTGTAGATATTCTTCTTCAATCTTCACTGTATTGTTACATTTGTGCATCACAGATTTTATTTTTACTTTCTTTTGACAATGATTATCTCTTTACCTGGGATCAGAGAAATGTTCCTATCAACATTGCAGTATTGGATCAAATTTCATACCTAAGCTTCAGGGAAAGTTTTTGGCTACAGAAAATTTCTTCCATACATCCAAGGTTTTGTCTTCTCAATGCTCTAATCATCCGTTTCTTTCTTATTAATGGTTTTGTGATAAAAATTTTAATGTCATGGGTCAAGTAACAAGGATACTCTTTTTATTTCTTTTTTAAATTTCTGTAACGAACATATACAGTAGAATTATTACTTAGATGCATTTAATTGTGTGTTTCTTACACCCTTTTTTCTTTCCTTTTCTTTTTCTACTGCTTTCTTAGTTCTTTGGTTTGGCTTCAAAAGCATTTCTTTCTGACCTGATGATGGCTGGACAACAATTCTGTGGAGAGGATTGGTCAAAGTTAAAGAAGAGACACCATCGACTCGATGAAGAAGCTTTGCTTCACTATTGTTTCTCTTCAGCATATACTGTGGCCCTACTTCATGATAGTCTTGGAATTGCTATGGATGATGAAAGGTAATACTCGTACTACTTCAGACTTGTATATCACATACAATATATTTGAATTTCAGACTTGTATATCACATACAAAACATTTGAACTTGCACACGTGTATGTGTTCTTATCGATTGTCACTACTCTTGTGACCAGGATCAGGGTTGCAAATCAGGTGGGAAGTATTCCACTCGATTGGGCTCTGGGAGCTTTCATCTTGCAAAGCACATCTGACTTGGATGTAGGGCACTCTGATTGGATTAGCACCATAATTAGTGATGGCTCTCCCACTCTACTATCATTAATTTTCATCTTTGCAATATTGATGTTTACAGTGTGGTCTCTGTCAAAGTGGAGGAAACCCCAGTTGAAGACAATTTATGACCTGGAGAAAGGGCGGTATATAGTTACTCATGTTAGTAGATGAGATGTTGATAGCTTCTAGAGGAAGAATGTACACTTGTTATGTTAGATCCGGAGGAAAGAGTGGTGCAACATGCTGAACCAGATTCACTTGAGCAGGCCTCGGTTTATTGCCCAAGGCCATCCTTATAAGGTTACCGACCAGAAGCGATATTGTATAGTGTGGGTATCTGCACAGAATTTAGTGGTAACATTTTTTGTGCCGGCGGAGCTAGGCTTAGATCCCCATTTTGTACTTGGAGGGAATCCAATACCTCCAATTAATTATACCACATGCTCTCTCATTGCCCCCAAATCCGAATAGGAAGTTTAGGATAAAAATTGGGGAAGGCTTGTTGTGAGGGAGATGTAGAATGTTGTATCATTGTATGATAATGTGGTAATACACGTTCTTTCTTCACAATTGTTATTTGTTCTTATTACTGAAGCGAGAGCTTATTTCATCACATCGGTCTTAACTTAAGGTTTCCAATTTCCATGGGCCTCATGTTTTCGCTTTTCTGGCTTGGAGTCGAGTAATGCGGGAATTTCGGGCTTCTAATTTCTCATAGCAAAAGAACAAACAAATTGGGTTAGAGCTAGACTCTGCTCTACATGTCAAACTTCCAGTGATTAACGTTTCATAAAATATTGCAACATACTGCAAGAGGCTTGCAGCTGTGCAGTTACCCCTGTATTTGGGGTTCTGTCTTCGAATTCATTTTCACCAACATCACCTGTATAAATTGTTTTTTATTTTAAATAAAAAAAATAAAAAGAAGTATTATTTTCTGAAACTCAGAAACAATTTTGTGTTTTTTAAAATATTGCTTTTTAGTATATATAAATTTTGGGTGAGAAGTGAGGACATCCTTCTAACTTCTTTCTTGGGTCAAAATATTCAAAAAGAAAAAGGCTACTTCCCTGAAAGTCCAATGCAATGCAAGCAACCAATCCAGTCTTCCCGTTTTGCATAGATAAATGTATACGTCTAGACTTGGTAGCTATTTTTCTTGTTTAAATTTCTAAGAATGTTCTAGACTTGTTGTAATTTTGTTTGATGGTAAACCAAACCTCATAAAATATAAATACCATATCAAAATGATCACTTTCAACGTCTTTGGCTCTTGCCTTTGGCGGGCTAATCAACCCCTTCATTTTTGTTTAAAGAAATATCTTCTAAGCTGTATTATTAGTAAGTACGACAAACAGAAGAACATTTAGAAGCAATTAATATAAAGATAGCCATTCATTTGAATAGTCTTACCATTTTTAATTTTTGGTGCGGAGAAATTATTGGTCTTACTTACCACTTTGATGTGCACATTATTCTACCAAATTAATTCGAACCGATCCAATTATACATCACAAATCTATTGAAATAATTAAATAACGAGTTGAAGACCATATGTGTAGAGATACTCGCTTAATTCTCAAATACATTGCCCAATTTTTGTACTAGTTGCTTATCCTCTCCTATCAATAAAACTCTGTCGCTTTCTCTCAAAAAAAAAAAAAAGCCTAGCTTTACTAGTACATTACACGTCCAATTTTGAACAATTTAAATCAAAGTTGGCAAAATTTAAGACCATGATATTGAAACCCCTTTAAAAGTGGCCATGGAGCTACGTAGACTTGAGGGTCGGTTCAAAAGTTGGGCTGACGGCCGCTGACCAGTTCATTAATTAATTTCCAAACCTAATTGCATTGTTACATTCCCATATTACAAGTTCATCTCCAAACTCCCATAGTTGTTAAATAAATGTCTTTAGTCTTTAGACACCAACTTTCTTTTCATTCTAAATTCATTTTAAACTTTGTTAAATAACATAATAAATAAAAAATTATCATGTTATTAGTGTCGAATAATTAATTTAATAAGTTGATGTCTCCGGTATTATTGTTGTTAAATTTGGGTTCGCACTAAGCTAACAACAGTGATGATTAGCTGAGGTGATTAGCAGTTTAATGACGATGATGAAGGATTTTCCATTTCTCAAAATTAAGTGGTTTATCTTGTTTTGTCGTGTATAGCGGAACCGGTCGTTTTACGCGGCAAAGGAAAATTGGACCGACGAAAATACCCCTGAAGTCGTTCGGTGAAGTCGAGGAAAAGATACCCAGCACTATATATAGCAAATTCGGAAATGGGCAGAGAAACGTGGCTGGTGTTTTGGGCAAATCCAAAAATACGAAAAGAGACCCAATTAGAAAATTAACGAAATTCTCTCTCTTCCCTGATTATCTAAACGCGCTTCCAATTTTCTTGTCCAATTCGGAGGTAAGATTTTTCCCCCAATTCATCTTCTCTCGGAAACTTGGAAACCAAACGATCCGCTGTGTCAATCCAGCGCGATCCTGGGTTTCTAGGGTTAAATTTTGACTCACACAAAAAAAAAAAAGACTTCCTATTTGGAGGTTTTAAATTCAATGAAATTGGTTGTTAATTAGTGTTGGGTCCATTCGATTAGGTCGTTTTCTGTGTGATCAGCGCATACAATCGACAATGAGTGACCACCTGGTGTTGTACGTCGACCGTCTCCTCAGGCCCATGGCCGCACAGCAGCCGTCGGAGCCTCCTGAGGTCAGTTCTGGGCCGGAGCCGGCTGGACCCGACCCGGTCTCGGACACTTCCGGCCCGTCTTCTATTTCGTCAGCCGAGGGCGCGGAGGAGGAGGAGCCACTGATTCAGACGGCGGAGTGTCGCATTTGCCAGGATGAGGATAGCATTAGCAATTTGGAATCTCCTTGTGCCTGTTGTGGTAGCCTCAAGGTATATTTCAGTAACATATGATATAAAGGCTCAGTCTCTGACTTTGTATGTAATGCTGAATTGCTGTCATTAGAATTGTTGGGGATTTGAATTGATTTGGGGGATTATAGGAAATGTTTTCTTATTTGCAAATGACCCTTAACTTTGGTGACAGACAGAGGATAATGAAAATTTTTCCTAAACATATTAACCAACCAGAGATGTCGGTGAAAAGCTTCAGAATTTTTGCATCCATAGGGGCATTTCCCGGTTTCTGTTTTTGTTTTTTATTTCTTTGTTTAAGAGCTATTTAAAGTTGTGGAATCCATTAGTCAATAGAACATTGCGTCTTACATTTTCTATTAAAAGAACCGTTCTTGTCTCCTTTTTCGCACTTCTTTGATCATTGATATAATTGACAGAATTGTTTCGATCCATTTGCAAGATTTTTTTGGTGAATGATGATTAGTATAGCAAATATTGCTTCCATGAGCTAGTGTCTAGCAGTCATCTTGTCTCTGTCTCTGTCTTTTTCTTTTTCTTTTTATGTCTTGTTTATCTGATCTCATTATGCGTGGTGAAATTTGTTTCAGTATGCCCATAGAAAGTGCGTTCAGCATTGGTGCAATGAGAAAGGAGATACAACTTGTGAAATTTGTCATCAGGTATGCTGTTTGAAATTTTCTCTATCTATTCTTGGTGCTAATCTTATGCTGCACATAAGCTTGTAAAATTTAATTTTTCGACTTTCTTGGCTACTTGAATTTTCCTTTTCCTAAAAGTGATGTCTTAATTTCGTATTACAATCCTTGGCCTACTCCATGTCACAAGGAATTAAAAACTAGTAGTGGGTGGATTCCAGTTACATCTGGATTTATGCGTGGTAAGGCGGGGGATGAACCTTGACTTTTGATAAATGATGTGATATGATGGGGTTGTCTTTTCTAAGAAAATTATTTTTGAATCGGTGAACTGAAGCCATTTGCATAAACATGTGTACATTCAATTCTAGATCTCTCATTTGCATGATGCTTTTACCGCATCGTTAACACTATGTAGATCTCCTTCATAATTTAGAAAAGTATGTCATCTTCTGTTTTCTGTAAGCGCTTTTGGATAAGATCAGATGTCAAAGATGTTTGGAATCATAATTGCTGCATCGTATTTATTATGAAAATTTTGAAATACTTTCCTTTCAAGTGATTTAATCGCATTCTTTTCTAATTGATGGTCTTTTGCATTATGTACAGACTTACCAACCTGGCTATACTGCACCTCCTCGTCCGCCATCTGATGAAACTACCATTGAAATTGGGTGAGTCAAATTTTCTTATGTTTCATCACAAGTGTTTGTGACTTCTTTTGATTATTTTGGTAACAGTGCTAGTTAACTTAATACTTCTGTCATGTTTATGATTAAAACTGCATGAAAGACAATATGGATGCCTTATGATTATCTTTGGGCTATGGATGTTTCCTGCAGTGGAGGCTGGACACTTTCTGGCACTCCTTTGAGTTTGGACGATCCACGCATCCTATCAATTGCAGAGGCGGAACGTCAGTATCTGGATACTGAATATGATGAATATTCTGCTTCAAGTAGTAGTGGAGCTCCATTCTTCCGTTCAGCAGCCTTAATTGTAAGCCCATAAACTTTCAATCCTACTGAGAAGAAATTATCTCCTTTCTCATATTCTTATTCCTTATGTATGAGGTAACTCAGGTTTGATTTTAATTTTAATCCTCTGCATTTGGCAGTTAATGGCCCTTCTGATCTTGCGGCATGCACTGAGAGTCACAGATTCCGACAATGGGGATGACACGTCTGCTATTTTCTCTGTAAGTGGATTTGAACTTACTTTTTCTATCAACTCGCCAGTCTGGTGCTTCATTATCCCTTTAATTGATGTCATTTTACGGTTCAGTGAAGCTGATAAACTGGTTGTTACTCCGCAGCTTTTCTTGCTTCGAGCGGCTGGATTTCTTTTGCCCTGCTATATTATGGCTTGGGCCATCAGTATCTTGCAGCGTCGACAGCAAAGACAGGTTAATATTACCTCCAATTCTACTTTTAAATGTTAAGTCTTATACATTGGTGATTCTTTCTGTTTTCTTTTCTTATTCTGCTCTTTCATGTTGTTTTCTGTTCTTGCCACATAATAATCACTTTGAACCTGGTATATTCCATAATAATGCTATAAAGATAGAATCTAAGACTTCGAAACTGTAACATAATTGCTCCTTAATGTTCTTATTGTAATATGGTAAAACAGGAGGCTGCAGCATTGGCAGCAACACAAGTCGCTTTTGTTCTTCAATCTGGACAACATATGGGTCTACAATTTGCAGTAGGATCAGGACCTAGTGGGAGTCCACAACCAGAAACTGCCTAACATGAAGCCAACAAAACGCCAGAGTTTTACGTGACATGGGTAGGCCATTCAGCGGAAAGTAGTGAAAAATAAATGAAAACGTTTCTTTTGTCCGAAAATATGAAGGAACAAAAAATTGCAAAACATAAGAGAACAGAAAAGGCTACAGCGGTGTGGAATTCTGTCTAATGGCTTGTTGAAAAGGCCATGGCAGTCTTGGTTACCTCCATCTTTGGTTGTCTTGTATTTCATGTATGTATGTAATTAATTCCATTCAACCAGAGAAAAAAGGAAATATTG